TCATCAAGGATGGTATGGCTGGAATTCCAAAGGCTTATTTACCAAATCCGTACAGCTACAGCGTAGTTTTGGCAATGAAAATCTGAAGTCTCCAACAATGCAACATACCATAAACTTAAACTGCATCTATTTTCGAGGTTTAAACTCCACTCCAATATCTGGAATCTTAAAGTAACTTGGATTCTTCATTTACCTCCAGAGTAAACAATCCCTTGCTGCAGGGGCCCTGTGTATGTGCCGATCCTCAGCCGGCCTGTGGTCTGAAGGTAACACACATTGTCACACTCCTATTAATAAACATCATATTTTAGTAGAGTATCTTGTCCATACAGGCTTCTACACACTCACAGTGTCCACTTGCCGCAGCACCGTCCCCTCTCCAAAGAACACAGGCTTGCGGGCGTCCACCAGGATCATGTCGAAGTAGGACTTCCAGGGCCGGTGGGGTGTGCCTGGCTGTACACACATCATAAAGGTAAATCCTGGTACAGTACAGTGTTTTTTATTTCTCTACACTTTTTAATCCTAACACACCCCAGACAGGTGTAACCAAGGTGCTTCATTCAGATTGACAATGCAAATCATTAGTGTTACCTTTGGGCCATGAGGAAAGTCAAAAAGGTAGGTCATAATTTTCTGAAAGAAGACAGGGCAGGGTATTTAATGTCTGAAAACCACCAAGCAATAGAACTTCATGAAAATATGTGGACATGAATCAGTACATCATGACAATATGAGGTTCAACGTTGTGTTTGCTTTAATATATTTGACATATCTGACTGTAAGCTGTCCTCTCACCTCTGTGTATTTGTAATCACTGTTGGTGGCCAGAAACACTTTGGCTACTTCATTCATGCGACTGAGGAGCAGAGGAAGCTTGGGCTGGAGGAGAAACAGAAGCAACATGAGCTGATAAAGTACTACAGCACAAGTGGTGTGTGTATTGTAAGACCTTAATATGCTGCTCTACTTACGTCCTTGGCCACATACTTCTCCAGGTTTTCAACGGTTTTCTCTTTTAAAGACCCCTGGGAAAATAAAAAGCAGTGGGCTGAAGGCAAACAGCCTAGAAACAGGATTCATGTGGAAAAGCAAATTACTCTACCTTCATATGAACCCAGTCCACACCGTCTCGCACGTCCTGGAACATGCTCTTGTAGGACATGAAAAGGTCACCATTTTTGAAGCCAGCCTCACAACTACATTGACAGTTAGAAATAGAAGAAATGTGTGTGTATCATATATTTGTTATCTGTAGCACCATCCTGACTCTATGGGCATTTATAATACCTCAATGTTTAATTAAGCGGGATAAACTCCACATATTAACACCACTTTATGATTTCTGAAGTAAAAAGCTAATGTTGGGCTATAAAGGAACTACAACAGTCACATGACTTCACATCACCACTGCTAAGCTAAAGGTGGCTAATGTTGGGCTATAAAGGAATTACAGCACGGTCACATGACTTTAAATCACCACTGCTCAGCTAAAGGTGGCTAATGTTGGGCTATAAAGGAACTACAGCATGGTCACATGACTTCACATCACCACTGCTAAGCTAAAGGTGGCTAATGTTGGGCTATAAAGGAACTACAACAGTCACATGACTTCACATCACCACTGCTAAGCTAAAGGTGGCTAATGTTGGGCTATAAAGGAATTACAGCACGGTCACATGACTTTAAATCACCACTGCTCAGCTAAAGGTGGCTAATGTTGGGCTATAAAGGAACTACAGCATGGTCACATGACTTCACATCACCACTGCTAAGCTAAAGGTGGCTAATGTTGGGCTATAAAGGAACTACAACAGTCACATAACTTCACATCACCAGTGCTAAGCTAAAGGTGGCTAATGTTGGGCTATAAAGGAACTACAACAGTCACATGACTTCACATCACCACTGCTCAGCTAAAGGTGGCTAATGTTGGGCTATAAAGGAATTACAGCACGGTCACATGACTTCAAATCACCACTGCTCAGCTAAAGGTGGCTAATGTTGGGCTATAAAGGAACTACAGCATGGTCACATGACTTCACATCATCACTGCTAAGCTAAAGGTGGCTAATGTTGGGCTATAAAGGAACTACAGCACGGTCACATGACTTCACATCACCAGTGCTAAGCTAAAGGTGGCTAATGTTGGGCTATAAAGGAACTACAACAGTCACATGACTTCACATCACCACTGCTAAGCTAAAGGTGGCTAATGTTTGGCTATAAAGGAATTACAGCACGGTCACATGACTTCAAATCACCACTGCTCAGCTAAAGGTGGCTAATGTTGGGCTATAAAGGAACTACAGCATGGTCACATGACTTCACATCATCACTGCTAAGCTAAAGGTGGCTAATGTTGGGCTATAAAGGAACTACAGCACGGTCACATGACTTCACATCATCACTGCTAAGCTAAAGGTGGCTAATGTTGGGCTATAAAGGAACTACAGCACGGTCACATGACTTCACATCACCACTGCTAAGCTAAAGGTGGCTAATGTTGGGCTATAAAGGAACTACAGCACGGTCACATGACTTCACATCACCACTGCTAAGCTAAAGGTGGCTAATGTTGGGCTATAAAGGAACTACAGCATGGTCACATGACTTCACATCACCACTGCTAAGCTAAAGGTGGCTAATGTTGGGCTATAAAGGAACTACAGCACGGTCACATGACTTCACATCATCACTGCTAAGCTAAAGGTGGCTAATGTTGGGCTATAAAGGAACTACAGCACGGTCACATGACTTCACATCACCACTGCTAAGCTAAAGGTGGCTAATGTTGGGCTATAAAGGAACTACAGCACGGTCACATGACTTCACATCACCAGTGCTAAGCTAAAGGTGTGCAGAGCTGAGTGTGCAGTACCTGGAGTATCTGGAGCAGTTACTGAAGAAATCCACCAGGCAGGCAAAGAGGTAGGTTTCTGAGCAAGAAGGCAAAGGACTGGAATCAGAGAGACTGACTGAATATGATCATGCTTTCTATATGACAAACCAAGAGTAAGAAGAAAACAGTGAACTCCAGGTTACACACCACAACGTTTCCTTCTTCTTTTTTTCTTTTATTATATTGAAATAAATAAATGTCACTCTGAGACGGCTAAAGGTGTAGAGCAGTTCTCACCAGGTAGGTTGAAGAGTGTGTTAAGGATGTAGAAGCGGTCAGTGTCTCCACGCTGAATGAATTTGTTTGGGTAAATCTCTCTGATGTCTGGTCTTTGCACAGTGACACAAACACACAAATATTACATATATTAGCATGGACATTACATTTCTATGACCCCCCCCCCCCAATGTGTTACTGTTGTTCTGAAGGCTGAACACGGCACACTGTATCAGCAGAGCTACTTCAGACAAGGTTTGAAGTCGGTGAAGGCGGGACTATCTGATCCTGCAAGCACTCTTGCTGAAGACTGCAGTTGTTCTGCAGAGGAGAAGCTCCACACCTCCAGTCCAGATCTCTTCCACACGCTGTGCATTACTCAAAGATATGGTAGGTCGCCCTCAGTTTCTTAATCAGTCAAAATGAAGGACGGCCTTCAGGTTTTTTGGTCATTGTTAGGAAAATGTAGTCAATGTCAGAAAATGTTTGGCTAACCACTGCATGCATTGTGCCCAGAGGATGACTCCCATTTGATGCTCTGACTTTTCCTGTAGCGCCACCACTAGGTTGTAACTTCCACTTAGAGATATTCATGGTGCCTAGATGAATAATCCTAAAATAACGTCAATTTGATGGAATAACATCTGGTCAAATTTTACATTTCTCCAATACTTAGATTTTAGACCAAATATCTGCAAAACTAATGACATTCCCATAAGCCTCAGCAGTGCTTTGTGTTTGGAGCTATTCATCGTAGGGGAATATTATTGTTATTATGGCATAACATTAGCTTGTTAGCATTGTCATTGTTAGCATGTTAGCATGCTGACATTTAGCTCAAAGGTGCATGGCTGCAGACTGTAGTGCTGTTTATGACTCATTTGCATAGAAGAAGGATCTAACTTTGTGAATAAGTGTGTGTTTTTAGAGATGTGGTGTGCAGCTCAGTCAGAGTCGTTGACCTCACCCCCTCAAGAAGTTGAATCCGTGCACACACACCAGGATGTTCCCATATGCATCCACTTTAAGCAGATTGCCATACGTTGTGTCAAACAGCAGACCTCTGGAAGAATGAAGAGGGAAGACAGTGAGAGACAGAAATACCACTTGTGAGAATGCACTGCTGTTCAAATGGATTTCAAAAAGGCAGGGCATTGTGAACCAGCCTGGTGGGGAAGGAGGGGTCGTAGACAAAGTTGAGCAGCTCTTGTGGATAACCAATGTTCACCAGGCGCTCCACCGTCAGGTCGAAGCCTAGCGACTCGTACTCAGGAGATTTATACACTGACAGACAGACAGGGAGACAGGCTCATGTTTACTACACATAAATCACTCTGACGGGACCAAAATACAGCGATTCTACAAAAACAGTCATGCAGCTGTGTATTCCATCATCTTTATTACTTCCAACTTGATTTTCAGGCTGCAGGTCTGCAAAGACTCGCAGCGCTACAGCAGACTCTTTAGAGCCAGGCTTAGTGATGCATTAATGTCCATTGTGGAGATAGGACAATTCGCCTTCCCTTCCAAAGGAATTTGTAAAGTATAAATTATTTTAAAAAAAATATTCTGTTGTTAACTTTTTGAAATGTGTTAAGGCCCTGTCACACTGTCCCGAAATTGACACCCGATGGACACACGATAAAGGAAATGTTCAAATTCGGCTGTGATCGTAGCAACATCGGGCCATTCGTGAGGGCATCTTAAGCCATCGTATGACCGCCGGTGGAGTTTCTCAGGCTCCGGCAGCAACTTCGTGAGCGGCAACTTCGTAAGGCACTCGTGAGGGCATCTTGTCAAATCGTGTCATCTTCGTGTTATCATCGGTGCATTCACCCTCACTCTAATCGGGGCGAATGCCCGATGGCACCGATGATAACAAGATGTCCTCACGATGGCCTTACGAAGGGCACAATTGACACACGAATTCAACACGAAAATGAACCTTCGCAAGGTCCTTCGGCTATTTTTTGGCATGCCAAAGATTTTGCCACCGCTCACGAAGTTGCTGCCGGAGCCTGAGAAACTCCACCGGCAGTCATACGATGGCTTAAGATGCCCTCACGAATGGCCCGATGTTGCTACGATCACAGCCGAATTTGAACATTTCCTTTATCGTGTGTCCATCGGGTTGTTTTATTGCACAACAAAATCATGTAAATATATTATGTAAATAACCCAATTTGTGTTCTGTGAAACTAAAAAGGATATAATATATTATTTTGAAGGACAGTTGACAGGAAGTTGTTGTTGTTATGGAAACAACATTACGGAGAAAACGTAATATTTTCTACATATAACGACGGATAAAGTAAAGAACAAAGTCTGAAGATATCAGTACAGTATCATAGTACTGTAACATAATTGTTTTTGGTACTTTCATTGCAGTTGTATGTCTTAAATGTAATGTAAATGTTGCCTTCGTGTGTGGTTCGGGGCCATCTTCGTGCGAAATTCACAATTCCATATTCGTGTGTCCATCGGGTGTCAATTTCGGGACAGTGTGACAGGGCCTTTAGGGGTAAAATCTCATTTTTTTGTTTTAAGCTTTTTTGCTCCCCACTGATATCAGGACAGCAGGAAGTAATCTTCCGGGACAGATTGAATCACCTGTTTCTCTTGTACCTTGGTCATTAAACCAAGCCCGTTTCAAACCAATGCACCAGCGGTTCAGTGGTTTGGCTAATTTGAAGCAAATTTGAAATTTGAAATTTGAAGCTCGTCCCAAAAAAGTCACCAACTGGATTTAACTGAGCCAATCTGTAGGAGCCTTCCATTGGATATTTACTGCTTTGATTAATATGTTTCAGCTGGCAACAAGTTATTTAACCCCAGCTGTGTCTCACTTCACAACCATGTTGGAAGACATATCCTGTGGTCGTGGAAAGGATGTTAATGAGTTTCAGAAGGATCAAATGATTGGCCTGCATCAAGCAAAGCAAACAACTAAGGGGATTGCTGAAACTACTCAAATCAGGTTAATAACTGTCCAACGCATTATTAAAACCAAATCAATGAATCCAGATTTACCCTTTCACAGAGTGATGGGCGCATCAGGGTAAGAATAGAGGCGGGTGGAGTGATGTGCCCATCATGCCTAGTACAAGTACAAGCAAGTAGGAACAAAAGGAAGTGCTTACACACTAAAATATCCAGATTTATAAAACAGTGCACACGCACGTCCTACGCCGGTTTCCCTTTATAAATCACAATCAACTCGAAATGCGGGCTTCACGTAACGCCCATATTTTCCTATAAATAGTCAAAGACACGCCCCATATTAATACTCATTTAGACTGACTGCATGAAGAAGATCGTAGCAAATGCCGACAGAACAGCTAAAAACCAACATTTCACGCTGACAGATTTTGGTTCTTTTGGGGAAACAAGTCAATCCGATTGTTTGGTGGACGCAGTTTGAAGTTTACAAAGAGATGCAGCATGAAGGTCGGATCCTCACCGAAATAAATAAATAAGTTGTACGAAAAAGTGAATGCTTTGTAAAGGAAATAAAACAGATGTGTGACATCAGCTGTTCAATTGACCAAACACATGTTGTTCTTAGTTTTCATACCTCTTGTGTTTTAGGAGCATCACGTCTTGGCGAGCGGCATTATAATAATTCACTTTATTTGTAAAGTTCCGTTTAAAACAAAATCAATGCTTAACCATTTGAACACATATTTACTGTATATAGTATATAAAACTATGCACTGGTATCTACACGACCTACAGAAATGCAAAACGGCATCAGTTGAAAGTAATTCTGTCTTTCTGTTTCGCGCATCATTTATTAGAATACATTTCATAACATGTAAGAGAGTTTTCAATAACATATCCGTATTTATTTATTTCTCCAAGTTATGTTTTTGTGTGCACTCAGGAGTATCAGACAGGCGTTTGTTTCATCATTTTAAGATTGGCTTTTACCCATTTCTGTAAATGTATTCTTCATATATGATGCAGAGAGATTTATGGTATTGTTTTACATGTTTCTCTCCATCCTTCCTTCGGTCAATGCTGTCGCAGTTTCTCATGTCTCCCGTCTCTGTGCGTACGCATGGGTCAGAGTGTCCGTGGAGGACCACTGATCTGTCAAGTTAGTTTTTTATAAATCACAGAGATTGCTCAGGAACTGGCGTACGCCATCCTTTGATCGTACGCTGCGTTTATAAATGAGGCCCCAGAACACAGCCCCGTTGAGTCTTTGGGGTTTTGCTGGAGAAGACTTTGTGCAGCGGTGTAGCTCTCCCAATCAATACCAGATCTTGGCGGAAAATGAATGCAACTCTGGACAGATATACATTTTGTGACGTTGCAGACGCTTATCGAAACGATGCCACAGCGACTGCGTGCCGTACTCAAAGTGCATCTTCTTTTTGAGACGGGACCTGCAGGTTTCTTGGTGTTCTGAGAATCTTTATGGTTTTTTCACTTATAAGTCATTTTGGATCACAGCTTAATTAAATGAAATATAATAAATTGGTATCAGCTTCTAAAAACGTGTTTCTGACCCTCTTTGCCACCCCAGACCCCTCCCCCCTCATGGGTGTTGTGTGTGGAATAACTGCCAGGAATATCCTGACACAGCTGGGGGGGGGGGGTAGGAGGGAGCAGCTTGGGTTGCAGTGTGTGCTCCAGTGAACTCAAGGACTATGTTTACACACCCATCCGGCAGATTAGCATTTTTGCAGCAAATATTAAAGAAGAAAAAAGACTTGTGTGAAACTGAGACGGTGCCATGGAGATGATGGATACTTTAAGAGTGCTCAACTCAACCCAGTCTCACGGCATTTCGTGTTATAGTCACGAAATTAATTTAATCTATTGATTCGTGTTCACCAACACGATTTTCCCCTTTTTTTCGTGTCACACATTCGTGTCAACGATTTTAAAAGCAACGTATTTCTATTGGTAGTATGTTTCGTGCCTGCACCACGTCTTTTTGTCCGGTCAGGTCTTGGAAGACTGGAAGCTGTGGGGTTCATAAAAACATTTTCTTACTCAATATATTACCCTAAGCCTAACCCTTTTATTTTAAATTGTATAATGTCGGAGTTTTGTTGCCGTCCGTGAGGAAAGAAATGGGGCTCAGAGCCTCAGAATACTGACATCTGTATTTGTTGTCATCTTTTTTTCCTTCTAATTTGTTATTATTGACATTGCTGAATGTTGGTTAGAGCAATACGTAGCTTGAAGGCCGAAGCTGAGAATAAACTTCCAGGGAAACAAAGTCCTGGTCACATGAAGCTGGTTTAAATGTTGCTTGTGTTTCACGTGAAAGTGTATACAAAAGGATTATTTATAGGCAGCCCATTGGGAATTGGTAGAATAAGAAAGTGCTCCTGCAGTTTTGCAAGTTAAAATGTTACACAAAAAATGAGTGATGTAAGTGAACCAAAGTATCCCCAGCCATTAAAAGTAAGAGAGGACTAATAGGGCTGTATGGAGGGTATCCCATGCCCACTAATAGGGCTGTATGGAGGGTATCCCATGCCCTCAGTCACTGAGGACATGGGGCAGACAATCGGCAGCAGGACATTGAGGCTCTCCATGCAGCAGCTGTGGCTCTTCACTCTGACCTTTATCAGACTGCACTCACCTGCCAGAGTGTAATCCATGTCAAACCCAAAGCACTTGATCTTCTCCATGGCCAAGCTTCGATTGACAAACACTCTGGAAAGGGAGAACAATGTTGGGTCAAACAATGCACGGCTTACTTCTAATTCATGTTTTTTAGAGCTACAGAAGAAAAGAAAAAGCAGCACTGCACGCACTCCCTTGAGGTCAGTCTTGATATTCATGGCAGATTGTGAGTGACCTTACCACGAGTCACTCAAATACAACTTAACAACCACAACACCAACAGACATGCAATCCTGCAGGTTATTTAAAGTGATCAGAGCATCTGAAGTGAAACTCTCAGGCCTGCCAACTTCTTCTCAGATGGAGAGCTGCTGTGGTTTCTGCTGAGTCATGTTGTCAGATCTAAAAGCACTGTCATCAAGGTTGCTGTCACAATGTTCCACATGGAACTGAACATCACCTCAACATTTGTGATTCCCTCTACAAGAATACGTTCCTTCCTGATGTGTGTGGACCCACATTCATGTCTGAATGGCTCTGATACGGTACTAACTAAATAAGTGAATAAACAAAGCTTTTTACTAAGAAGCTGCAGTAACTTTCGTCATTCTTATTGATAAACATACAATACAGAGTTGTTGACATTGTTCTTTAAAAAGAAGACCAACGTTATTTATCAATTAGTAGAATAGTTGACATTTTTGGCTTAAAGGCATACATTTCTCAAAACATAGGTTTCCTATCCAGCCTTAACCACCTGACCCTAACTATCAATCTATAGATGTTAAGCCTAAACCTGCAGACATACAGAAATGATAATGTATATATGTATTTCCCATTTGCTCTTTTTATCTTCATCATTTTCATAGAATGTGTGCTCAACAGTTACTCTCACAGAAACCCCCCCTCACTGCTGAGTGTACAGTCAGACATACAGTATGATCTGTGACTCTGATCAGACATTATCGACAGTAACAGATGAGCATTAAAGCAGATGCAGGAACAAGGGCAATGCTACAGGAAACCACACTGAGAGCCACCTGCTGCCTCCACAGGGGTCAGGGTGGATGGAATCCAATGAGTCGGATGGAAAACCATTTGACATCATGGAAGAGTCATTGAGTCAGTAATGGCAGTTTGCTTCAACAACAGAAGGATGGCATACCTTGTTGCAGGATGGGTTTGAGTCTGATCCCTTGGAAAGCTTTGTAATAGAGAATACATGGAGTATTACCACTGAGGTCATGCTGCATGGCCATGGTCGGCTGTTTTTGTCAGAGAATAAAGTATTTTCTACTACAATTCAGTACCCAGTACACTTCGTTTATTTCCAGAGGTGGAAGAACACTGCTTTTCAGCCTGGTATTACGTTTCCCTGTTCATTATTTTAAACTTTTATAATATCACATGTCGTTGCAAGTGAAACAAATGGCTCGGTCATGGGTGCATGGTACATGGATATAACCGCATGGGGAAAACTGTTGCAAAACTGCGGATCATCTTTTAAGAGAGGAACAGATTTTTGGTCAGATGGTAAAAGTCATAATTTAATATCCCTAAATCTAACCAAAACATTATTTCTGCAAGTGAGCGGATTGAGATCTGGAGAGTGACGAGTCGGATTGAGACATGTCATAAATAGTTAGAATCTGAGGTTTCTGAAATAGCGGATGAGATGTGACTGATTTGGTTTGCACGCCCACTAAATGTTTCAGAACTTCATAGAGTGTACTCGCCCACACTTTATTACAATCACAAAGATACATTCGACCGTAATAAAGAGTAAGGAGACATTTTATGATGATAAGATAACTAACCTGTTTAATACCAAGAGATGTATCACACACACACACACACACACACACACACACACACACACACACACACACACACACACACACCTTTGGTGAGCTTCCCGGCGGTACTTCTTCATGGCCACACCGTCCATGTTGGCAGGGAGCTCAGCGTGGTTCTGCAGACGGTCGCTCCATGAAGTCGTCATCTTGATTCTGAGAGGAGAGGAGCTGATGATAAACCTCATGCAGGATGATTGGTTAACCCAGTGTCCTCTCAGACAGGGAGCTGATCAGACCTTCTGCTCTCTAAACAGAACTCATGTACCACGGTATCCTGACCCAGACTGCTGCACTCAGGTAGGCTGCCTTGGTCAACCAGAGGTACAAGAAGTACTCAGATCTTGTACTTGAGTAAAAACGAGTGTACGAATACTTTATATACTTTTACATTTAAAATTATGCTCAAGTAAAAGTACATAGTACTGGCATGAAAATCTATATTTAAGTACTCATTTTTCAAGTATGGCCCATATCAGATTTAAAAATATGACATGTATGTATTCTAATCATTAATGCATGAATGTCAATGTTGCACTTGGTAAAGGTAGAGGATTTAAAATACTTGATATTCTGCTGAGTAGCTTATCCTATAATAATACATTATGACTTATTTGTTGATTTATATTCTGTATTATAAATAAAAAATGTAGGAGTAAAGAGTAAAACATTGCCTCCAAACTGTAGTAAAGTAAAAGTAGCATAAAGTTAAAAATAACAAAGTGAAGTATAAGTACTTGAAAAGTGTACTCAAGTACACACTCGAGTAAATGTACTTCTTGTGTACTTCCCACTGTGTAAAACTAAAGCAGAACAACTAAAGTATGAATGTGATCAAGTCGAACATGGTATAAATGATTATTTATTACATGTGGTTGCTTTATTGGTGCAGTGTTCTGTATAAGACTACCAGGGTCCTGTGCTTCAGAATGCTTCTTCCTACCCACACCGGAAACATATGTAATACATCAGAATAAAGGCTAAGCTAAAGTTAGCTATGTGTAAGTAACGTTAGTTTCATCAGCTCGCTGTTAGTTTAGCAGCTTTTAACTCCACCCGTTAGTGAGTCAGTGTTTGAGAGAGCCCGTTAATCTGTCACAGCTCTCAGACTGAGGCCAAGCATTTACTGCAGACACACAACACCACTCACCGTGACCGTCCACTTCTGCGTGCCTTCTTCTTTCTCTCCACCTTACCATGGACGGCTACCCGATTGGTCCTCAGCTACGTACGGCAACCCAAGTAGAACAGTTGACACACAGCGGCGTTTCGCAAAGAAGAAAACAAACCCGACCATCAATCTGAACGAGAGATACATTATTACAACGTTATTTCCCAGATTATTTGAGAACTCCTTTAAGTGGGCTGAGTACATTTTAAGAATAAGTGAGACATTTATTTAACTTCTGTTTGACAGCTATCACACTGGAGAAATAAGAAACTGTAAATGTATGCAATCATTTGTGGCATTAATCATTCATATCTAATTCTTAACTGTGAATGGTTTTCATTTATTAGCAATGGCCAAACTTTCTCTGTTGAGATTCCTGAAAAGGGAAATTACATAAAATATTTTCCATAAAAAAGGTGATTCAAGAACAAAATCCCCATTTTGTCAGCAGCTGTTCTCACTGTAAACATCGCGTCGCGATTAAAGCCGTTAGTAAACAGCATTCACACTAATAAGAACTATAGTAATAAGATGATTAAAGAAAAGAATAACTAGTGGAATGCTGTTTACATTCGCACTAACACAACGTATACAAAAAAGAAATGCCATTAAAGATTTTGAAGTATTATTTTTTAATCCAAGAGATGCTGTTACGAAAGGTTACGGCATTTCCTGTTTCTGTCGGAGTGAGGGGAGTTTTATCTCAGAATAATCGATCTGAGAGTGATCTGATCGGAAGCAACTGTGACAAATAATCCAACTGAAACCGGCATGGTCAATGACAATGTTTTAAAAATGCGCTTATCCAGACAAGCCCGGTTTGGATACTTTACGGGCAGAAGAAACATTTCTATTAAAGAAAAAATTACACATTTCTGTCTTTTTATGCCTTTATTAGCTACCAACTTGAATTTTTATTAAAAATTAATTTAATTTTTTTTAAATTATTAGCGACAATCATGTATTGCGTTACAATTAAATGTAAAAAATAAATAAAATAATAATCATCTGAGGCCTGGAGCACCCCCTGCGATCTTCGGTGCACCCCCCAGGTTGGGAACCACTGATCTCGAGTAGTGTTTCTCAAACTTCTTCATACCAAGGACCACTTAACCAATAAAAACCACTCACGGACCACCTAACTCCACAAATATCGAAAAACACATCATTTTTCTAGAACAGATTACAAATCACCTGAAAATGGTACAAACAAGTGGCAACATGTGTGACGAAGGTGTTGTGCTGGCCTATATCATGCAATTGTGAAAATGAAACTTAAGCTCGCTCCATTGTGGAAAACTTAAATGTATTTATTAAAAATGTGAAATGTTACCAATATACTCACGGACCACCAGTGGTCCGCGGACCACACTTTGAGAAGCACTGATCTAGAGAATTCGAACTGCCACTGACGTACTTCCGGGTCATTTCACTCCGTTAGAAAGGTTCCTAAGCTAAATGGACTATTCGACTGCAACCCAGGCCTCAGGTTTTCCGAGGATCCTTATCGTAGCATTCGCAAATGTGTCATTTTAAAACCAGGTTATGAGAAAATTACAAACATTAAGGGTTAAGTTTTGGAGTCACAGAAAGTGCAGTTTTATTGAAAAGACATTGTTGAAAGACACAACTTGACTAAAAAGGTCTACAAGTTTAACACATAAGTATTTACAAAATGGGAATTCACAATGGGTATGAATGGGTTTGCATGTTGTTGTCGGTTTTATATTTTGTTGATGCTGGCAGCCGGCAGGGTGGATTTGTCCAAGTCATCAAAGTATGGGTGAGCCATGGCCTCACGGGCTGAGATCCTATTGGGAGGGTTGTAAATCAACGTTTTCTGCAGTAAAGAGACAAGAGCAGGAGATTAGAGGTGCAGCACCATGAGCTTTTAGAACTCTGCGGGAAGTTTTCCAAACATATTTTAGTTTAAACAAGGTTTGTCCTGATCCAATCTCAAGCATCATTTGTGGGCCATTGTTAATGTCAGTTGTCCCACAGGAGGTTATACTTGTGAAGCTGACTGGTACGTCTTGTCTTTTGCTAGCATGTACGGCAGGGCTATTCAATTGGCGGCTGGTCTGATTTTCATGAAACTTGGTGGGAGGGTGACCGAGGGCCAGGAAAAAAAGATAATTGCATTCTGAAGTGAATCAATTCATAAGACGAGGCATTAAATAAAGAATATTCACATTAATGGCACCTTCAAGTTGGAACAAAACACATTTGCAGGGTATATGCAGGAATCCTGAAGTAAAATGTAAGACCTTTTAAGACCTCTTCTAAGACCCTTTCCATACATTTTAAGACCTCATCGCCACTTTGAGTTTTAACCGGTTACATTGGCGACACACTTTACCTCACATTGACTATATACAGCAGGGGTGCCCACACTTCTTTGGCTGGTGAGCTACTTTTGAAATGACCAGCTCACCGAGGTCTACCAACCAAAAATAAAATCCCAAATTGCAAGGGTTGCTGAATAACACGTTTTATTTATACATGGGATAACTACAACAGGGCTGCCACAAACGACTAATTTGATAATAGATTAATCTATCAATTAATGAAACGATTAATCGACTATTCGGACTATTAATGTATGCCTTGCACAATTTCTCAAACGCTCTTATTTAGCCATCAACTTTTAGATTTAGCTTGAGGTTGTTTTAGGCATGTGGAAACTAACAATGAAGACAATAAAGATGAATACTTGATTCAAAAATACATATATTATTAAATTAACAAATTGTGAACAGAATTAACATTGCTTTTTATTTAAATTAAATAAATAATATTTCACATCAAAAGAAACAACAATGTTTTAACAAATCGTATTAAATAATCTGATGACAGAACTGTAAACAGAATAGCTGAAACTTTAACTAAATAAATAACTCAGTTAATCATTAACCCATGTTTGTATAATTGAGTTAACTCCGTGTGTTGCTGCTAGCATACATAACACCTGACGTGGAAACGTTACTCGTGGATGGGGCTACAGAGCTGCTAGAAAGACAGTGGAATCCGGTGCATTCCTCCGTCTGAATGTGGTGCACTTTTGATAAATGTTTAGACACATTGCTCGTGTTACCGCCCTTACATGCTAAACTCTCTTGGCAAGGAGCATTGTCCACCTCAAGACGGGTAACATTTAACCACACCTTGGAGCGCTTCTCTCCGCCATCTCCTCCGTGTGTTGCTGCATGTAGCAGCTGCGTGTGTGTAAACTGCCCCGCCCCCCTCGCACACAGACGGGAGAGAGAGATCTCGTCTGGATTGGAAAGATCAAAAATACACCGACCATAGACGCATTTCTTTGACTTTTTGCATATTAGAAACGAGTTGGCGACACTAAGACTGAGATAATGTTTTTGTAGCAATAATACATGACCTTTCTCAACTCGCTACTCTGAGGGAAGTCGCTTTCATATGCCTTGTGAACACTCCGATAATGCCTCTCCACGTTACTTTTCTTTGGCAGAGCAACGCTTGCTTTAAAAATAAGGCAAATAACCTTTGAATGTGACATCACAACAAAATATTCTTCCTCCCATTCTGGGTGGAAGTGGTTTGTCTTTAGCTTCTTGCTCGGTCCCGCACTCATTTTGTTGTTTGTCTCTGGTTTGTCTCTTTAACTTAATTTGAGTTTTGCTGGCACTTGACTGATTTTGTATCGCTTTGCATTCTGGGTTAACAGACTGGAAAGCGATAGGTCGCTTTTTCTGTCAATTAAGTAAACTCCTGAATTAAGTGGCAGGGAGGCCAAGGGAGGAGGGATCAAAACCTGTTTTGTCTATTTTAACGGAGCTGGATTATTTTATTTTTTTATTATAAATCTACCAGCATTGCCCCCGCGGTCGACCGCGGTCGACGTACTGGGCACCTCTGATATACAGTATTGATTGTCCTTCCTCCTTATCTTCCAACCATTTGGACGCAGACTTGCATTTCCCCATAACGATGTTGTTTAACAACCGGCGTAAACGGGCCTTTGCGCGCTATCAAGCAGTGAGCGTGCGATGTCCTGTTCAGATGACGTCAAATCCAACGGGATGCCATAAATAAACTACACAGAATCACACTACACACCTACGCAATGATTACATTCAGGCAGACTGTAGAATACAACCTCTTTGGACGATTCATATACTTATTGAAAACAAGCTACAACATTTAATACCTTGGAAAATGCTGTTTAATACTTTTTAATAGCCTTAATTTTTGCTAAATTGATTTATCAATAGGGTTGGGTACCGAGAACCGGTTCGGAACCGGTTCCAACATCTTGATTCCAACGGCATCATTTAGAAATGTGAATTTCGGTTCCGCTTTTCGATGCCTGAGGAAATGTTTCTCGCCGCTCTCCGTAGCCTACTGTATGACTGCGAAGGGGCGGGAAATGTAGCGCTGTACCCAAAGTGTAGCGTTGTACCCATAGTACAACGACAACAACCCACACATTGCGGTTGTACCTACACTTCCTACAGCGTAACCTGAGACCAGGGCCGGCCCGTCGCACCGGCGTTATAGATGTTCGCCTAGGTCGCCAGATCTGGGAGAAATTTTTTTTTTTTGACCGTTGGTGCTCATCCTAATTTTCGGCCTTGATGTAACAACATTCATAATTAAGTAAATGTAACACCCTTTTCATCGCGGTTACACTTTTCATTTGCCCTGTACGATGGGCGCTGAAAGTGATGAAAATGGGGGCTGTTGGCTTATCTGGCGCCCGCAGCTCACAGCCAAAGTGCGAGTGAGCGTGGGAGCGAGCGAGGGAGAAAGGGAGGGCGCTGTTGTTATTAGCATCTGGTGCTAGCTGCTCTAACGGAAGAAGAAGATGTTTCTACAATGATGTGGAGGGAGAGTCCTCTCCAGTCAGACTGATAACTACAGCTCAGTGAGGTAAAGGACTCTTGAGTGTTTAGATAGTTCAATTTAGTCTTAGTTATCTCAGTGGGTCTCAAACGTTTTGATCACAATTTATGTAAACACATATTTCCAAGGCACTCCTTTATAATTATTGGGATAAAACAGGTTTGAAATCATTCCAATGTATACTATAGGACAG